GCCAGGGGTCAAAGAACTGGTGTCCTTGGCCCCCACAGCACTGGAAAAAAAAATGTTCAAACTGCAATCAAGATGTCCTTCAGGAGGTGAATGGATAAACAAACATCCTTACCGTGGAATATTATTCAGTGAACTATCAAGACACGAAAAGACATGGGGGGGGAATCTCAAATACATATTGCTAAGTGAAAGAAGGTAATCTCAAAAGGCTTCATGCTACATGATTCCAACTTTAGGAGATTCTGGAAAAGGCAAAACTACGGAGGCAATAAAAAAACAGTAGTTGCCAGGGGTTGGGGGCTGGGAGAGAGAGAGGCATGGGAAGAGCTCAGGGAATTTTCAGGGCACTGCAAGTTACTGTTGCTTATGATATTTTTTGGCAACAGAAGGATTAATCTGGACATAACCTCACTGCAAGTTAAGGAGTATACTGAATGCCTAATGCTTTTGCACCATTGTAAAGTCAAAAAAGTATAAGTTGAACCATCATGAGTTGAGCCATTATAAGTTGGAACTGTGTGTACTCTCTGTGATACTATAATAATGCAAACACGTTGTTAAGCATTTGTCAAAATCCATAGAATATACAGCACTAAGAAACCCTAATGTAAATGATAGACTTTGGTTGACAATGTTGTTGATAATATTTGATAATAATGGTAGTATGATAATAATGATGTTGACAATGTTGGTTCATTGATTGTAACAAATGTATCCAATGTAACAAAGGAATCACTCTAGTGTGGGATGCTGATGGTAGGGTAGGCTGGGGACAAGAGGGAGGAGGTGGGTACACATGGGAACTCCGTACTTGCAGCTTGGTTTTGCTGTGGACATAAATCTGCTCTAAAAAATAGAGTCTGGCCTGGCGCAGTGGCTCACACCTGCAATCCCAGAACTCTGGGAGGCAGAGGGCAAGAGGATCGCTTGAGCCCGGGAGTTTGAGGTTGCAGTGAGCTGTGACTGCACCACTGCACTCTAGCCTGGGTGACAGAGTGAGACCTTCTCTCGAAAAACATAAATAATAAAGTCTAGCTTACTGAGATTCTGTTGGTGGGTACTGAAAGAAATAAAATAATAATAATAATAAAGTCTATTCATTAAAAAAGAAAAATGTTTGAATAGCCAACATATAAAATGTAGAAAGCTGCAAGTCTGCATTTCTAGCTGTGGACAATCAGCTCTGGTGGTTCCAGCCCCAAGCAGGTAGAGACGTGGCTGCCTGGTTGGTTCTCACCTGGGGACAGATGGTCCTCACTACTTGGTTCAGCGTGCTGCGTCACCTGCCTGCCTGGCTCCTGGAAGCATTGGAGTTTGAGCTTCATGGTCTAGGTCAATGGTTCTCAATAGGGGGAGACTGCTCCAGGGACACTGGCAATGTCTGGGGACCATTTGGGTTGTCATTACTGGGGGTAGGAGCTGCCGGCATCTAGCGGGTAGAGGCAAGGGATGTTGTGAAACATCCTGAAATGCACAGCATGGCCCACACTCTGTCACTGGTGCCAAGGTTGGGAAACACTGATGCGGGGAACCGGTTCTCATCTGGGGAACTTCTAAAAACATTAATGGCTCTGCCACCCCCAGCGATTCTGGTTCAAATGACAGAGGGGTGCTGCTGGGACAAAAGGATTTTGAAAATCTCCCCAGGTTAAGTCTGATGTGCAGCCCAGTTTGAGAACTACTGAACGGTTTTTTTGGATCGGTCAGGGCTTAAGATGCCCAGGATTGTCATTTATTTACTCATTTCTTCAATTATGCAGCCGGCCACTCACTGCTCCCTTCTCTCCTTGCATGCAGCTTTGGAGCCCAGCGAGTGAGCCAGACTCAGACCTCCCTGCCCTTAAAGAGCTCTGGGTTTAATAAGCAGCTCCCAACTCTTTCGGTTTATAACTTTGCAAACTTGCTTACAAATCGCCCTGGGATCTGTTCAATTCCAGACTCTGATTCAGCAGAGCTTAGCGGGGCCTGAGACTCTGCATTTCTAACTGGCTCCCGGGGGGGTATAAAAGGTGCTCAGCTGAGAACCACACTCTGCGCTTCATCCTTGCTCATGAGTCTCGAGAAAGACTGACCCAGAAGAACGCCAGTACCCCAGGTAATACATTGCTCCATAGCCTTCCAAATGAACGTAACCACCGCTCATGAATGCCTTACACCCCATCACTAACAAAGTTCTCAATAGATCTTCATAATAGCCAGGAAAGGGAGTCAGAGATTATTTTCCCAGTGATCCCGTTTCACCAATGAACAAACTCAAGCTCATGGAGGTGAAGTAACCAGCTTGGTGTTTAGCCATTGCTAGAGGCAGAACTGACTCCCAATTCCTAAGTTTTGTTTCTTAAAGCCAGCGTGGCTGTCATAATCAGCTAGGACTGGCTTCATGGGACCCCAAGCTCAAAGGGTCCTGCACTTAGTTTAATGTTATGCTATCACTATGCTGAAATTCTTAGTGTTTTGTTTTGTTTTTGTAAGAGAGGGTGTGTTGCCCAGGGTGGAGTGTCATGGTGTGATTATAGCTCACTGTAACCTTGAACTCCTGGGCTCAAGGGATGCTCCCACTTCAGCCTCCCCAGTAACTGGGACTAAAGGTGCCAGCCATCATGCTCTGCTAATTTTTTTTTTTTTTAATTTTTAAGACATGGGGGTCTTGCTATGTTGCCCAGGATAGTCTGGAACTCCTGGGCTCAAGCTATCTATCCTCCTGCCTCAGCCTCCCAAGTAGCTGGGATTATAGGAGAAAGCCACCACACCTGGCTGAAATTCTTAATTTTGTACTGGACCCTGAAAACCCTGTAGCTGGTCTAGCACATGGATTCTGAGAAGCAGCATTTACAGAGGCTCAGCATACACACCAAACTGAGAGCTAACAGTTCAATCCAATCCCTTACTTTTCTAAGGCCACCAAGTACCTCAGAGCCATCCTACTGATTCTTGGAGTCAAACAGACCCGGGGTTTGTGTCCTGAGGCTGTCATTTACCAATCATGGGACCACAAGCTCGTTGTGTATTTCCGATACTGTAGCCACTATTTCCTGTTATCTTTCCCATTTCCCTAGTTATAAAAGGAGGAGCCTTGATCTTGACAGCAAACAGCAATCACTGGGGGAGGGAAGTTTGACAGTCTAACTCAGGGGTCCTCAAACTTTTTAAATGGGGGGCCAGTTCACTGTCCCTCAGACTGTTGGAGAGTGCACACTGTGGGCCTGGGACGAGTCGGCTGCTAAGCGGGACAGGCAGTGGCGCGCAAAAACACCCAGAGGGCCGGATAAATGTGCTAGGCGGTGCAGACCGTAGTTTGAGGACACCTGGTAACTCAATTGGTCTGGGGTGGAGATGGGGGGATGTGTTTACAAGTCCCCCCCCCCCAGTGTCTCATGGTTAGCCAGGGTTAAGAGCCACCTTGGAACCTGCAGGAGTCTTCAGGCTCTGTCGCATCCAGCTTGCAGAAAAATCTCATCCCTTCCTGCAGGTTCCCAGCCAGCCTGGACACCTCTTTCCCCAGACCTTTGTGTCCTAAATCACTACAGGGCTCCTGCCCCCCTCGTAGTAAAGTTTAACCTTTTCCAGTGTATGCGGATTCTGCCTGGGGGACTGGCCTGAGCCACCAAGGAATTCTTCCCTGGAAAGGAAATACAGCCCCATGTTCACGCTAGGACAAAACAAAAGCCTATTTTGCTTTGCAAAGTGACTGCTTTCCAGAATGGCTTTTAAGGAAATGGGCTCTGGCATGTGGATAGGCAAAAAATAGAATAAAACCTCCCGGCCAGTAGAGTCTGATCCTGTTTGCGCAAGCATGGGCTTTCACATCTCTAACCACGCAGGTGTAGACAAACAGAAGAGAGATCAGGAAGGGCGGCCGCTGCCACCACCTTGACTGTCACCATCTTTTTTTCCCTTGCGCTTGTCAGCTGGAGTTTTCAGTAAACACGAGAACCTATTTTTATCATTTGAAGAAGAAGTAAAGCTATTTCCGTTCTGAGATAGAGGGGCGATTTACACCTAAGTGGGAGAAAGAGTCACAAAGTTCGGGGTACTCCACCTTTTTGCTAAAGTTAAATCCTACTGTCCATTAAGTTGACTGGCGTGCTGGAGTCAATTAAGATACAAGGAGATGAAACGAGAAATATTCGCTCATGGTGAACCTTGTACAAAAATAGAACACATTCTCAGGAGGCCATTCGTCCTCCTTAAAAAAAAAAAATGTTTTCTTAAAAAAATAACGTAAGAAGCAGGGTCAACCCTCCTGCCACTCCCCAGGGGCGTGGGATCCCCGAGCTGAGGGAGGAGGCTGACCGCAAATCACCCCGCAAATCACCCCGCTGGCCCGGCAGGTTCAGCTCCGTGGGAGGCATCCAGGGCCAGCGCTGGGAATAATTCCCGCTGGGCTCGAAGATCCAGCACGGCCGGGCAGTGGGGAGGAAAGAGGGAGGGAAGGGGAGGGACACCGGTGTCACTTTCGCTGAACCCCCAGCCAGGCCGCCCTAATATAGATACTTAGCTGCTGCTCCCACTCCGCGTGCCAAGGGCAAGGAGGGCGGTCACCGCTGCGCGCGGCCGGGACACCTGGCCCAGCCGGCAGCGCCGACCCCCACCTGCACGCTCGCCACAACCTACGACCCTCGCCCAGGTTCCTGCAGCCTTGACCCAAGAGGACCCCCCCACCGTCTCTCTGCCCACCCCTAGCGCCTGTCTGCCCCTCCTCCTCCTGCGAACAAGCACGCTCCTTTCCTTCCCTTCCCCCCACCCCCGTGTCTGCTTCCCCTCCCCCAGCCTCCCCGTCCGGGGGGGCTTCTCCCCTCGGCACGCGCCCGCGTGGGAGAACCCCACGATCTCAGCACCTGCCTACTCCCCCATGCAGTCGCTGAGTCTGTGCCTCCCTTTCTCCGCCACGCAGGGCTCCCCCTCCCCGTGACCCCCGAGTTTCCCGACCCCCCCCCCAGCCCTCCGCTCCACGATGCCAGCCCCCTCCAGCCCCCTCGGGCCCCCCGGCCCCGGATCACCTGGCTCATATTTGAGGTAGAGGATGGAGACGATGAAGTAGCTGAGGTCGAAGACGGGGAAGAGCGGCACCCGCGAGAAGCTGAGCGCCAGCTCGCCCAGGCTCAGAGCCGAGAGCAGGTCCATGGCGTCCGCCGGGTGCCACCGCGGCCCCCGGCCCGGTCCGTCCCGCAGCCCCGCGGCCCGGCAACTGCGCCCCCGCCGCTGGGCCCGCCCCCGCCCGCCAGGCGCCACCCCAGGCCCGGCCCCCGCGGGAGAGGAGGGGCGGCGGCCCACCCCGGGACGGGTGGTGGGGCCGTCCAGTCCCGCGGCGCTGGACTGTCGCGCGTCCCATGCCCTGTCCCTGCGGCCGTCACGACCCCATGCAGCCCAGCGGGGCGGGGTGCGGGTTCCCTGGAAGGCGAGTGGGCTGTCCACTCGGGGGGCCCGTCCCACGCTTCGTGGGGGGGGGCTATGAAGGTGGGACGCCCATCTCTGCCAGGCCGGAGCAACAAGGACTTTGTCACCCTTGGGACCCTGTTAGGACCCCGTCCCCTGTGGAGCCCAGTCAGGACCCTGCTCCCTGCTGGGACCCCATCAGTCAGCACCCCCGTCCCCCGTAGAGGTCACTGGGGACCCCGTCCCCTGTGGAGCCCAGTCAGGACCCTGCTCCCTGCTGGGACCCCGTCAGTCAGAACCCCATCCCCCGTGGAGGTCACTCGGGACCCCGTCCCCTGTGGAGCCCAGTCAGGACCCTGCTCCCTGCTGGGACCCCGTCAGTCAGCACCCCATCCCCCGTGGAGGTCACTCGGGACCCCGTCCCCTGTGGAGCCCAGTCAGGGCACCCCGTCAGTCAGCACCCCCGTCCCCCGTGGAGGTCACTCCGGACCCCGTCCCCTGTGGAGCCCAGTCAGGGCACCCCGTCAGTCAGCACCCCCATCCCCCGTGGAGGTCACTCCGGACCCCGTCCCCTGTGGAGCCCAGTCCCCTGTGGAGCCCAGTCAGGACCCTGCTCCCTTCTGGGACCCCGTCAGTCAGCACCCCATCCCCCGTGGAGGTCACTCGGGACCCATAGGGTCGGTTAGGGTCCGTTCGGTCAGGACTCCTGTCCCCCGCGGGGATTGCTCTGTGGGGATCCCCGACTCCCGTGGGGGATCCCATAGGGTCCATTCTTGTCCCGTAGGGTCCGTTCGGTCAGGACCCCTGTCCCCCGCGGGGATTGCTCTGTGGGGATCCCCGACTCCCGTGGGGCCCAGGAGGACCCCGTTTTGCAGCCCAGTCAGTTGGGGCACCCGTGTCGTGGGAGTCCACTGCGTCGGGACCCGCCTCCCATGCAGCTCAGGGGCTAGAGGGCTCCCCTTTCTCCACAAGCCCAACTCGGCACCCCAGCGAGCGAAAAGGAATTACCGCCCGGCTAATCCCACAGCACGCGAGACCTCGCGCATGCGTGGCACGCTTCTAACGCGCGACCCAGTCCCGCCCCCAGAGGCTCCGCCCCAGTATGTGACGTCACGCGCCCGCCCCCCCCCCCTTCTTCTCTGGCGCATCAGGCCTCCCCAGCCAGGAGGGGCGCTCGCTCTCTCCTCCTGGGGGCCTGGCCTGCAGAGGGCGGGACCCTCACTGCCCCGGCCTTCGATTGGCCCAGCCGCCGACAGTGTTGCTTCGGGATTGGTCGGCTCGTTCTCCTCTCCCCTCCCTCCCCGGGGCTTCCGCTTCCGGTGTTTTACGGACGCGTCGGCCGTAACGATGATCGGGGACATCCTGCTGTTCGGGTAATTAGGGGGACTAGAGTCTGGGAAGAGAGAGCCAGACAGGGCGGGGGGCAGCCCTAGTAACCGTACTTGTCCCTCTGCAGGACGCTGCTGATGAATGCCGGGGCGGTGCTCAACTTTAAGCTGTGAGTAGGCCGCGCCGGCCTGCGGCTCCACCCGGGGCCCCGGGGCCCCGCCCTCGCGAGCGTGAGCTCGCCCCCCGCGTCGCCGGCCCCGCCCCACGTCCCGGCCCGCCCTCTGGCCACGCCTCCAGCCTGGTTTCTGCTGCTCAGACTCTGGCTCCTCTGACACCCCGGGACTTAAAATCCGGACCCTCGGTTCCCCGGGGGTCCCTCTCCTCACATCCCCGGGGAGCCTCAGTCCCATCCCCCAAGGAGCAGCCCTATTCCGGACCCCCAGCCCCACCCTGTGAAATGTCCGTGGCTGCAGGCCTGCCTGGCTGTGTGATTGGCGGGGCAGGTGGTGGCCCAGAGAGGGACGTTGGGCTGTCCGAGGTCACACAGCAAGTCAGCGGCAGGGCTAGGGCTGAACCTTAGGGTTTGTGGCCCTCTGAGCTGAGTGTTAGGGGTCAGGGGCCTGAGTGTTTTTTATGTCTCATTGAAAGTGGACACTGTCTGCTCTTTTTAGGAAAAAGAAGGACACGCAGGGCTTTGGGGAGGAATCAAGGGAGCCCAGCACAGGTAAGGTCCTTTTTCTGGTCCCTGGAATTGCACGGCCACTTAAGAGAGGACGGGTCTTTCTCACCTATTCCTACCCTAGTTTTATTTTTACTTGAGAGACAAAGATCATGCGAGAGGGAGGGGGGGGAGGGAGGCAGAGGGAGAGAGGTGGGCCTGAGGTGAGCTATTTCTTCTGCCCACCATTGTCACCTACTTCTTTCTCCCACCAGACGTTCTTTATAAGACAACAGCACTCACATCACTTCCTGCAGTTGTAATTTTCTGTTGTGTGTGCTCTCATCTGGCTAATAATATCTGCCTTTCACACTTGACTGTCAGCTCCAGGGCTGGAAGAAGGGTCTTGCCGAGCAGCGCCTCTCAAACATCCTGGGGATAGACCCAGCTCTTTTTTTTTTTTTTGAGACAGAGTCTCGCTTTGTTGTCCAGGCTAGAGTGAGTGCCGTGGCATCAGCCTAGCTCACAGCAACCTCAATCTCCTGGGCTCGAGTGATCCTCCTGCCTCAGCCTCCCGAGTAGCTGGGACTACAGGCATGCGCCACCACGCCCAGCTAATTTTTTATATATATATATCAGTTGGCCAATTAATTTCTTTCTATTTATAGTAGAGACGGGGTCTCGCTCTTGCTCAGGCTGGTTTCGAACTCCTGACCTTGAGCAATCCACCTGCCTCGGCCTCCCAGAGTGCTAGGATTATAGGTGTGAGCCACCACGCCTGGCTGGTTTGTACATTTTTTAATGAGAAAAACATTCAAAGGAGTATTTTATGAGACACTTCACTGAGTCTTGCTGAACAGTTTAGACAAGCCTAGTATTAGCCAACCAACAGGGCTAGCAGCACACAACACAAGCTGTGCACGGCGTTGGTCTAGCATGGACTAGAAATGTTAAAAGCTGGGTCTAAGGCCAGGCGCTGTGGCTCACGCCTGTAATCCTAGCTCTTGGGAGGCTGAGGCGGGCGGATTGCTCAAGGTCAGGAGTTCAAAACCAGCCTGAGCAAGAGCGAGACCCCGTCTCTACTATAAATAGAAAGAAATTAATTGGCCAACTAATATATATAGAAAAAATTAGCCGGGCATGGTGGCACATGCCTGTAGTCCCAGCTACTCAGGAGGCTGAGGCAGGAGGATCGCTTGAGCTCAGGAGTTTGAGGTTGCTGTGAGCTAGGCTGACACCACGGCACTCACTCTAGCCTGGGCAACAGAGTGAGACTCTGTCTCAATAATAAAAAAAAAATGTACAAACCATTCTTAGTTTCCAGGTTATAGAAAAACAGGTGGCATTACAAGCTTGGGTGGTGCAGTGATGTCAGGTGGCTGGAAGTTTGTGAAATTGTGCTCTGTTTTCTGTACTTACTAAACAGCCCCAGTCTGCAGATGCTTTGAGTAGCAACCTTGTAGGTCACCTAGTCTGGACTCATTCTTTTCATTCTGGAGGTGTAGAAAAGGAAGGCGATCCATTTGAAACCCTGGAGAAAGGTTCTGGAACCCAAGACTCTGTAGTCTTAATGTACCAAATTGGCTCCCCCTTGGAGGGGTCTCTGTTCCTTTACATCAGAGGGAACCAGAATAATTCATCACCAAAACAAACTTCTTTTACTTGTCTGAACTAGGATGCTTTTAGTTGCAAACCCAGCTTTTGGTTAAAGCAAATTAAAAGTTACAAGGGTAGAGCTGGTCTTGAGGTAACCCTGGGTTCGGGTCTCAAACCAGCCTTCCACCACCCAACTCTCCAGCTCTCAATTCTCCCTTCTTCTGTGCTGATTTCCTTATCGGGCCGGCTTGTGTTGGCAAACATGACCCTCGAGCAGGGGTGGCACTTTTTCCTCTAAAGGGCCACACAGTAAATATTTAAAGCTTTGTGGACCATATGATGTATGAGTGACAGCTCAACTCTGCTGTTGGAGTACAAAAGCAGCCAGAGGCGATATGTATATGTCAGTGAATGGGCACGACTATGTGCTGATAAAATTTTGTTCACAGACACTGAAATTTGTATTTTATGTAATTTTAGTGTCTCATAAAATATTCTTTTGAGGTTTTTTTTTTTTTGTCATTAAAAAATTTAAAAACCATTCTTAGCACAGGCCATAGAAAAGAGGTGGCAGGGGCTGGATTTGGCCTATAGGCCATAGTTTGCTGACCCCTTCCCTAGAGCCCTAAGCTTATATCTTCCTAGCCCAGCAAGCCTGGCAGAGAGTGAGCATCTCTTTCCTAGTAGTTGGGGCAAAAGTCCCAAGGCAGGCTCTCATTGGGCAGACTTGGGTTATATGCCTCTCCCGGAGCCAATCAGAGACAAAAGTGTGTGGTACTCTAAGTCGATTGGTCAGTGGTAGCCTCAGCCTGAGTGCTGAAGGTGGGGGAGCTGAGGAGACCCAAGCAAAAAGTCACGCTGTCACTGAAGGCAGGAGCAGTGGGTGCAGAGCTGGCAGAAATCACAGAAGCCCGCTGTAGCAGTGACAGTAGGAAAGGAGTGTTAGCCGTGCTGTAAAAGTGCTTTCTGACTTTCCAGGTGACAACATCCGGGAATTCTTACTGAGCCTCAGATATTTTCGAGTCTTCATCGCCCTGTGGAATGTCTTCATGATGTTCTGCATGATCGTGTAAGTCCGGCCTGCCTGTCCCCTTCAGTGCCATCTCAGAACCGTTCTCCAGAATGACCCGGCTGACGGTCACTGTGTGTCCTTTCAGTCTTCACTCGTGCATCATGCTTTCTGCTTTCAAGATAAGAGCTCTCCCAGCGAGCGGGGAGCTGGAATCTGGAGGGGCTAAACTACATTGCCGAGGTCCCCTCCGGACCTGGCTGGAGCTTCCTTTGGAAGGAACTTTGTGTTCTCCGAGTCTCAGCTATGCTTGGCACCTTTGCAAAACGATGCCTTCCCTGAGCCCATGGCCCTGTCACCTCCTGCCAGCTCTGTGCTTAGTATATGTTTGTCGTCTGGTAGTGTGGAAAATGTGGCTTAAATGTCCAGCCTTGCTGGAAGCCGACAGAAATGTATTTAGACTTTATTTTTGTTTTTATTCCTGCTTTGGTTTTTTTCATTAGGCTGAGAAAACCTAAGGCAGTTGCTTTTCCATCTAGCACTGGGGTTGTAATTTTGATACTGCTGTTAATGAATCGTGAGAGTCACAGTAAATGAACTTGGGGAAAAACACATTGGGAAAGTCTGGTGTTCTTGGCGTCACTGGTTCCACCCCCGCATACTTTCCCCCAAAAGGAACGGGACGCAAAGTTGGCTGTCCTGAGTGTTGGCGATCCTTGTGCCAGCCCAGTGGCTGTTTGAGGTGGTGATTCCAGGACTTAGGAGATCTGAGAAGGAGGGAGTTTCACTGTGTCTCTAGAAAATGTTGTAGTGCCCCAAATGCAGACCATGATGTATTCCCAGAGAGGCCCTTCTCGAGGTGTCCTTCCTGGCCAGAGAGGATTCGGGAGCACTGGACAAAGCCTGCCTAGGAACAAAAGGCTTAGGAGGAGGAATTTGCGGAAAAGTATAGGAAGTGTGACCAGGACTCGGAGAAACTGGGATAGTGTTGGATGGTTCCTCCAGCCTTCTGTCTCCTGAGGTTTCTGTTCATTCACAGCTGTCCATCCTGAGCTGTCTCCGCAATTGCCATAGTCCTGGCCTTCCACCAGTGCACAGTATAACAGGTGGGACATAGACAGGAAAATGAGCAAATAGGAAACAGATGTGAGGTGGCAAATTGGGAGGGGGGGCTCCTAGTTTCAGAGGTGGTAGGGAAAGGCTCTCTGAGGAAGTGCCATTTAAATCAAGACCTGAAGGATGAGAAGAAGTTTGTCATTTGCAGAACTGGAGAAAAGCATGGCAGCACAGGAAGTAGCATGTGCAGAGGTCCTGGGGCAGGGAAGAAATTAGTGTGTTTTCCTTGTTCTCTTCTTTCCTGTATATCTGTTTCATCATCCTCTCTTGTCTGACCAACTTCCCTCACTCCCTCATCTGCTGGCCGTGACCAGGATGGCAGCCTCGGGCTCTGTGATCTCCCAGCTCAGCTCCCCAAGACCAGCATGGTCAGTAGCCCAGGGTCCTGGTTTTGTTTCCTGGGGCAGAGTCTGATTGGTCTACCGTGGTGTCATCCAGATCCAGTTGGGCGGAGAATTCTTGACTCCACCCTAACCACTTAGGTCAGAGCTCAACAAACCACAACCTGTGGGCCACAGTTACCCACGGTCTGTTTTTCTGAATGAACTTTGATTGTCATGCAGCCACACCCACGTCTGTGGCTGCTTTTGTGCCACAGCAGTACTGTTGTGTGACAGACTGCTTGGCCCGCAAAGCCTGGACTGTTTACTCCGTGGGTCCCTACAGAGAAAATGTGCCAACCCCTGACCTAAGCCAACTCTTTCACTGGGGGCTTAGATGGGGGAAGATTCTCTCAACAAAGGGCTCTCTCAGGGTAGCCATGACTGGCTTTCCTAGGATATTAAAAAACTGGAAATCACCTAAATGTCCAAGACCAGTGGTGGAAGGGTCAGGTAACTTGAAAGACGCTTGTGTGACCAGCTGTCACGATGCCATCACTGACAATGTGCTGGAAGATTCTGTCTACTCAGAGAAATGCTTCGAAAGTGAAGAAGGCCAGATGACACCTGTGTGCACAGTCTGACTTCATCTGTGTGACTTGCATGTGGTAAACATGGAGTAAACACTGACCGAGTTCCTGAAGTCTGTGGGAAACACTGTTCAGTGAGGGAATTGAAAGGATCCACTCCAGATGGTGTAAGGAGGTGGCCCTGCTGCAGTTGCTGAGGACGTTGGCGCGATCTGGGGCATGGATCGCTGTTCCCGGCACCCACTTCTGTATAGTTTGAGCTGAGATACTAAGGAAATTTAAGAAGTCATGAAAAACTTGAAATATGGGGAGAAACGTCCCTGAGTGTGTATGGATCCATGGTACTGGTGTCTGCAATTTCCTTAGAAACATGTCGAAAATATGTTTGGTGGATAAATGGGTAGATGTGTGCTAATGGCAGAACTCAGGCAGTAGGAATGTGGATGTTTACTGAACCGTCCTTTCAACTCTTTTATGTGTTGAGATTTTTCATAATAGAATACTGGGAGGAAAATCTAGGGGGAAAATGAGGGTGTCAAACCATGAAGAATGATTTACAAGTAAAGAGTAGGAGTCTGTCCTCACCATTCAGTATTTCATAGCATATTCCCAGGACTGTGTAACCACCATCTCTGTCCACTTCCAACACATTGTCATCATCCCAGAAAGAAATCCTGTCCTCATTAGCAGTCACTCCCCACTCCCCCTGCCCCAGCCCTGATAACCATAATCTGCTTCCTGTCTCTGTGGATTTGCCTTTTCTGGACATTTCATATCAGTGGACTCACACACTGTGTGGCCTTTTGTGTCTGGTTCTCTCCCTCAGCACCATGTTTTCAAGGTTCATCCATGTGGTGGCAGGTGTCAGAGCTTCATTTTTATGGCTGAGTAATAATCCATTGCGTCAATATACTCTAGTTTGTTACCCATCTGTCAGTTGATCCATAGTTGGATTTTTCCCATTTTTTTGGCTGTTAATGCTGACATGAACATTCATGTACAAGTTTTTGTGCAGCCTTATGTTTTTTTTTTTTCAGTTTTTTTTTTTTTTTTTTTTGGCATATTATGGGGGTACAGGCGGGGGCAGTGAGGCCACCTGGGCGGCCCCCCATGCCCATTTCCCCCCCTCCCCCCAAAAGTCTGAGTCTCCATCATGACCATCCCCCAGATGGTGCACATCTCACTCATTATGTATGTATATACCCACCCCTCTCCCCCCTCCCACCTGCCCAATACCCTATTACTGTAGTACCTATGTGTCCACTTAGGTGCTAGTCAGTTAATACCAGTTTTCTGGAGAATATATCTGGTGCTTGTTTTTCCATTCTTGGGATACTTCACTTAGTAGTATGGGTTCCAGCTCTAACCAGGAAAATATAAGATGTGCTATATCACCATTGTTTCTTAGAGCTGAATAGTACTCCATGGTATACATATACCACATTTTATTAATCCATTCTTGGATTGATGGGCACTTGGGCTGTTTCCACAGCCTTGCAATTATGAATTGTGCTGCTATAAACATTCGAGTGCAGGTCAGCCTTATGTTTTTTAATTCTCTCACTTGTATACCCAGGAGTGAAATTGCTGGGTTATATGGTAACTCTATGTTTATCCTTTTGAGAAACACTAGACCATTTTCCAAAGCAGCTGTAGCATTTTACGTTCCCACCAGCAGTGTGTGAGGGTTACAGTTTCCCCATACCCTGGCTGACACCTGTTACTGTTAGTCTTTTGATTGTAGCCATCCTAGTGTGAGGTTTTGATTTGCATCTCCCTGATGGCTAGTGATGGTGAACATCTTTTCATGTGCTTATTGGCCATTCATACATCCACTTTGGGGAAACATCTGTTAAGATATTATTATTATTATTTATTTATTTTTTATTTTTTGAGACAGAGTCTCACTTTGTCGCCCAAGCTAGAGTGAGTGCCGTGGCGTCTGCCTAGCTCACAGCAACACTCAAGCGATCCTCCTGCCTCAGCCTCCCGAGTAGCTGGGACTACAGGCATGCACCACCATGCCCGGCTAATTTTTTCTGTATATATTAGTTGGCCAATTAATTTCTTTCTATTTATAGTAGAGACGGGGTCTCGCTCTTGCTCAGGCTGGTTTCGAACTCCTGACCTTGAGCAATCCGCCCGCCTCGGCCTCCCAGAGAGCTAGGATTACAGGCGTGAGCCACCGCGCCCGGCCTTACCTTGCCCATTTTTAAATTGGGTTATTACTAGTTTTTAAGAGTTGTTTGTGTATTCTGGATACCAGTACCTTATCAATTATATGCTTTGCAAAGTATTTTCTCCCATTCTGTGGGTTTTTTCATTTTCTTGATTGTGTCATTTTCAGCACAGATGTTTTAAATTAAATAAATAAATACATGTATCTATATTAGAGGCAGGGTCTTGGTGTGTTGCCCAGGCTGGTCTTGAACTCCTGGCCTCAAGTGATCCTCCTGTCTTGGCCTCCCAGAGTTCTGGGATTATAAGCGTGAGCCACCACACCTGGCCCCAAGGTTTTTAATTTTGATGAAGTCCAGTTTATCTATTTTTTCTTACAGTAACTTGTACTTTTGGTGTTATAGTTAGGAAATCATTGCCTAACCCAAGGTCACAAAGATTTATGCCTAAGTTTTTCTTCTAAGAGTTTTATAGTTTGAATTCTGATAGTTAGATCTGTGATCCATTTTGCATTAATTTGTGTGTGTGGTGCAAGGTAGGAGTCCAAGTTCATTCTTTGGCGTGTGGAAATCTAGTTGTTTCTGTCCCATCTGTTATTATTTTTTCAGAAAGTCTTTTTAATGAGTTTAGATTTGTGGAAATGTTGCAAAAATAATACAGAAAGTTCGAAAGTTCCTGTATAGATCTTTTTTTAAACAGCTCTATGGTTTTCCTCTATCTGGCTCTGCCATAACTCACATGCCCACTCCCAAACTTGACTGATATTTATACTGTTTCCAGGTCTCTGCTGATCCACAGTTTTTTCAATGAACAGGGTTAACTGTAATCATTTGTTTATTTAAAGGTCTTTTTTTAATTTATGAAAGTCACCACTGACTTGCAATAATGGGTTTAATTTATGCTACAGACTCATGTGAAGTGTATACTTTCTTAGAAGAGTCACTCAAGCCTGTGGTTCAGTATTAAATATATTTACATCTTGTGCATTACAAGAGTTACTTTTAAAGTCAGAAAATGATGGAAAATCATCTAAATAGTAGTCGCATAAAATAATCTCTAACAGTATTTTCAGAGCAATGACTCCCATCCTCACGGACATTTCTGCTCTCTGACTTTCCCAGGCTGTTTGGGTCTTGAGTCCCAGACACAGAACCAGGAACTCGCCTTGCTGGACGCCGAGTCTCTCTTCCTCCGCTGCTGACGACTTTGAGAATGTTCTCGACCAGAAAACCAATGACCTTCTTAGAGAACCGAAGCTCGTGGTGGGTGGAAAAACATTTACCAAGATGTACACGGTCTCCCAGCCACATCACTGTTTTCAAAGATGTTTTCCCTTTGGTCTCTGAATTGGAATGCTGTCTCCGCGAGGGGTCTCAGGAGGGTTTATGTGAGGGGCTGTGATAAAAACCGCACTCCCGCTAGATAAAAAAACGTGGCGAGATTGTTTCATCATGTCGGAATCCCTCCTGTACTGGGCTTTCACAAGAAACCTGTTTCTGGATATTTTTTGGTTTATTTTTAATAACCACCCTTTTGGTTAGAATAATACAGAGTTTAAGAAAATCATTTGTATCCAGGGATCTGGGCAGAAGGCTTGGCTTTTAAGTTTAACACAGCCTCGTTTTTGGACAGTGTTTATAAATTATGAGGACATTCCATGTTGCTCACTGAGTCTGACAGCATCTGGGCCCAGCCAGGGACCCAAATGGTGTCCAGATTCCTCCCCCATCCCGATAGGGTCTATTTGGCCACTCAGTGCAGCTGACGGCATCCCCAGGACTTGAAGGAACAGGTCACCTGTAACAGGGACCGGCCTTCCTGTTCAGACACTAAACCTTACCAAGAGGGATGAGATAGTGCCAAGTGCAGTATTACTGATTTCCACAGAAGAGGAGTTCACAACAGTGGGCAGGGTATACAGAGGTGATAGGAGAAATTTTGCTTTGCCTCGAAGCCCTTTGTTAAAAAAAAGGTAACTCTGGAGGCCACTGAATTGTATAGTCACAAGAATGAAGATGATTTAGTACGTGGTGATATTGGGACCACGTTGTGAAAACCCGTGTCTTGCAGTCAAGGTTGGAAATAATAGCATTTGCCCAGAAGCTTCTTTGAAAGGGAGTCCCCGTTTCATTGCCCAACGCCGGTCGCCGGCGCTGAGTCCCACAGCTGTGCGATTTGTTTGTTGTGGTTTTGGAAATCCTGACTTGTAAGTAAACCTGGAGGGAGGAAAAAGTAAATACGCAGGCTTTTTAGAACTAAGTAGCCTTGAAAATAAAACTCATTTCTAAAAAAAAATAAAAATAAAAAGACCTTTCATTTATATGTTTTTTTAACCAAGAAGTCGTCTTCCAACTTGAGAATTACCCTGTGGGAAACACCTAGGATTCATTTTGGAGGCTGTCAGAATGTCACAAGAGTTGGTGGTAGATTTTCCTCTTTCGGATTTTGCTCAATAAGTGATGGGCAGGACCTGGGCAAATAGACCTTGGCCTGAACCGCTCCTGGAAGCATTGCGAGCATCAGCGTAGATGGTGGGATCTTGCTAGACCAGGGTCAAATCCAGTTCTCCTGCATCGCTTCTGTAACTTATTTCCTTGGCAAAGCCGGGAGGAGTGTCACCCTGTGGTTCATCAGTAGCGGGGATCGGAGCTGCTGGGTTGAGCTCCACTGAGGCCCGTGACCTTGTCAGGAAGAGCAGGCGTGCCAAGGTCCTGGCTGGGTCCCTCCCGAGCCGGATGAATGGTGTGAAGAAACCTTTCTGCCTTATGCAGACTGGCGCTGAGGTTTCAGCGAGGCGAAGCATTTGTTCATTATGGGGATGAATTGCGCTCTTAGAAGAGAATGCTGTCATTGAGCTTTTGTTTCAATAGTTGTATTTTTCTCCAGAGAACTATTATCTCATTGTTAATCATGGCAGCATGGGTTTTTCAGATGCCTGTTGGAGGCTGATGTACATTTCAAAAATTGAATTTCACGGATAAGTCTCTTTAGGAAGCTTTTCAGGAATCTTCATTGGCACCAAAGGTTATCAAAGTTTGAAGTTTGGGTGCCTAGTGTCTCCCAGCGTTTAAGCATTCATGTTCTGGGTCAGTTAAGTACGGGTTCAGATCCCACGTCTGCTCTGGTGGGCCTTGGCTAATTGCTCCTCCTCTCAAAGCCTCAGTTTTCACATCTCTGAAATGGGCCTGCAGGTCACGCCTGCATGGGGTTGTAAGGTTCAGCAAACTGTAATGCAGGCTGGGTGCCTGATAGCACCTGTCACTGCACCTGCGTCCCTGTGTGCGTTTTCTCTCCTCTTGTCCACCTTCATGGGTGCAGTCTGCACACGCACCCCTAAACAGTGGTCTCGCCATTTTTAAACATTGGAAACAGTTTTCTTCGTGATGAACCTTTTGTCGGCTTTGCATTCCCGTCTGGCATTTTCCTTATTCCTGCCTGTCTGTCTGTTCCAACGGTGGATAAGGCAGCATGGGTTCTCCTGTTTCCATTTCGGCATCGTTTCCTGAGTACTTTCTGTGCAGCCAGGGAGACTTGGTGGTTCTCATTTGTAGTCGTGGTAGCAGTGTCAGTAAATC